TTTGGTAGTGATATACTGCTCACTTTGGAGACTTGATGTCTAGCTGTTTTCTTCCCCTCCTCCCTCCAATCCTGGTCAAGTAGATAGTGTTAGGGGTGAGCTGCTGGAGGGGACAGCACAGCTCATTCTCCTTGGTGGAGGGAGCAGGAAACGGACTGAGTCAGGCAAGGCTGATGCCCTTGTCAAAGCAAAGGGAGCACACAGCTTTCCGGTGTACAGTCCTATCTCTCTTTTATTATTAGATAATAACTATCTTGCAGCCTCATGGAAAGGTATATGGATTAGAGAAGTTAACAGAAAGGACAGGGCTTGGTGGAGCTCAGCAGCAAACATCGGGCTATTGTGTGTTAAGCAGCTAACCTGATTAATTGCAGCCTGTTACAGCCTGAGATGCCCAGCTCTATAGGCAGGGACTGTTGGCTTTAAAGACTGTGATAGCGTGATTATTGCTACTCTTATTGAATAGTCTCTGGCAAATGTTCCCAGACAGCTCCCGCTTGGGACATTTGCTCCGTGTGCTGCTCTTGATGTTATATTGTAGTTATTAAAGTATTGTATTTTAATAAAGAGCCCTTTTATAGAGGAATAAACTTCTGGGTTTGGCTGCTGCAGGCTCAGTTCCTTCTCTCTGTAGCACAGTCGGACTGTACTACATCCATTTCAGTAACTGCAGCCCTTAAGATGGATCACTTCCAACCCTTCCCAAATTCTGGGCATAAAACTGGGGATCATGGATGTAGTCTCTCGCCTACCTCTCTCGCCGGTCTTCACGGCCGGTAAGATGGAGTGAGGAAGGACAAGAATAGCAGAAAGTGTGTGTTAGGCTCTGTGTTCCCCTTCCAGCGTGCTTGGTGGAAGGCTGCAAAGGAAGAATGCGGGGAAGGGCTCTCCAAAGCATGCTGGTGAGGCTGACTTTCACATCTTTTCATTTCTTTGGTACTTCTGCTTTCCTCACCAGAGTCCCGCCTGTGATTGGAGTCTTCAGTAGTTCTCTGCAGAGAACTGGTCTCAGATCATCTCACTTTGTGAACAGGTTTCAGCTGCTGTGGTAACTGTTCCTGCCATCCTTAGCAGGCTTAACTAGCCATACTTGAGATGATCCAGTGTA